TTCCATGTTGTCAACTTTCACTTTGCCTGCTTTGTGCCAGTTCTAAGAACTTAAGTTTTTTGCCTTGTGTATATAAGCTGTATTTTAATATTCAGCATTTTGATAGTGCTAGTTGACCTCGCAGACCTTTGTCAGAATGCTTTCCTTCTCATCTGATTTGGGTGACCTACATAAGGATTGATGTAATGAGCTTCACTATGAGCTGAGTTTGAGAAAAGATTGGATTCTTAGATAAGTTAATTTCCATTGCATCCAAAGAAGAACAGAAGAAATATTCTGAGTCTTAAGTACTCTGTATAGTTATTATCTTCTTCCTTGTGGTTAAAAAAAGTAAATAAAAATAGATGTCTTGTAGAGCACAAGCTTTTGAGCAAATAAAAATAGAGTTGAGCATCAATCCGATCTATTCTTACACTTTTTAGGTCATCATGTTATCTTACACTGCATGACCTAATTCCAAAGAGTAATAAGCTGTCTCATTTGATTATTGATGTTTAAAACCTTAAAATGTAAATTCCAAAAAAATTTTTTTTGCTTTATGCAAGTACCAAGAATTTCAATTCTCATACAGAAATAATTTTCTTCATATACAAAAAATCCCACATGTGAGCACACTAAGACTTGCTTATCAAATAAACTGTTACAATAAGCTTGCATAGTGTTAGAGAAGAAGATATCTTTGGTTTATTATCGGCTTAGAAATTGTATGAATGCTTAAAGTATCCTAGCAGTCAGTAGTAGTTGTTTTGTCTAGTTGTGGCTTTCCAGAAGGCGGAATCGCTTTATTCTGTAAGGCGTTCAGTCTCATCTTTCTAGAGTCCTCCTGAAAGCATGCACTCTTCAACTTAGGTTTGTTGCCATCACAAACTGGTGCCTGCAACTCAGAATGGAGATAGCTAAATCTTTTTCTTGCTTCCAGTTCCAAACAGCCTTGTCTCCTGTCAGAGATTAATCCTTGTTGACCTGTGCCATCAGAACCTTAGAAAAATGCCACCTCTTCAGTTTTATCTGCGTGAGTCAAGTTGCTTTGAATGCTGTTCGGAAAATACTGCAGGATTTGCATAATGATAATTAAAACACACCACTATGTTTATCAGTCTTTAGTTTTAGGGCTTGTGGTAGCTGTAAACTCATTTACTTCTTAGTTCAACATTTTCTTTTACCATTAAACATAAAACGAAGGGGGGGAGGATGTATGCATACGTCGTCTAGAGCTTGACCATGAAAGACCATAAAATGCTCTTGCCTTTATGATGTTAGGTCTTGCTTCAATGAATTACTTCTTGCAGTTGGACTCAATGACCCCTGTAGGTTCTTTCCAAATGAATGATTCTGTTCTGTCTATGCACTTTGTTTTCCTCAGTTGTTGAGATTTTTTTTATTGTGGTATTCCCAGCTAGTGGCTTTCTCTTTGAAGATGAGTTAAATATTCAGACATCTCCTGAATAAAAATGGTCTGCTCTACAAACTGCAGACTGCATGGATCTGCAATGCATAACATAAACTGAGCTGCCCTGAATTGGTGAGAAAGGTTCCATGGGTGTTTTTGTTTTGTTTTGTTTTTCTCTCAGGTAAAGGAGTAGAATGTACCTTACACATATGCAGTCATTTCTTACTTCTTGCTACTGTGTCTGCTCATAAAAGAATGTGAAAAGAATTCTTTGGGAGAGTTTGCAAGGACATAGGATGAGTTCCTGTTGCACTGCTGAAACATACACCCGTTTAACAGCTCGCTCCCAGATTGTTTTTATTTAAAGGAAAATGGTGGTGGTTTCTCCTTAGGTTTTTTTGGGGTGCTGACAATTTGTTACTGAGATGTTCATGTTTTTGTAACTATTGTAAGTGCAAATACAGAACTACAGTTCTGTAGTTCTGTTCTCTAGTTAGTTTATCTTCATTTCTGACCTTTTTTGCATGTGTATCTTCCTTTTATATTCCCTTAGGCTTTACTCTTCCTTTCTTAGGCATTGCAGTTCTAGGCAGTGAAAAGTAATGGGAGATATCATCTCAGTGGATTGGCAGCATATCTTCCCATGGTGTTTTATGGGCACAAGTTTTGACCCTTTAATTTAAAAGACAATAATTTCAAATAAAATATTTTTATCTTTTTACATAATACAACTCATATAAAGCATTATAGTAAATGTTTGAGAACAGACTCAGCTTTTTAAATCTCTTATACCGCAAATGTATTGACAAAATTTTGACAGCATCTGGGAATCATTTCAGCAGGTGTTGTATGAGAGTATTAATATTACACACATGCTCCCCTGAATTTGTTTAATGGCTTTTATCAGGCAAACGCTTCTACCATCAGCAGATATTGATAAAGCCTTTTATTTATGGTAGTAGATGCAGTAGCCAGTACTGTTGCACTTCAGTTGGTTTTCTCAAAATGTTTTGGAGGCATTGAGACTCTGTCACTTTTTCTTTCCTTATAACAGGACTATGTTTATGTGAGTGTTTCTAGGGGAGAATTTTCAGAATGCTTGCATAGCACAGAAGGTTTCCAGGCAGAATTATGAGTGTCATCATGTTACTCCTTTAGGGGGAGCTAACATTAATGCTCCTGCCCTGCTCCTGGGCCTTGCTGCTCGCATCCACGCTTCCCTCAGGTGCCCTCCTTGCTAGCCAGATGGAAGAAGGGAGATTTTAATTCTTCCAGTGCCTGCTGTGAAGTCTGAGTGAATGAGTGCATCTCTTAATGTCATCTGTGCTAGGAAGGTGATCTTTGAGCAGGACTCTTGCCATCCTTCTAAATCTGCTGTGAAAAAAACGAGTACGTTTCCTTTCTGCTTAGCCAGTCTCTCAGTGTTTCAGCCAAACTGACCTTTACTTCCACGCTACCCCCACAGACTTCTATCTTCTTTTCATTGGTAATATGTTATATGTTCAGCAGCTTCTGCTGGTTTTCTTTTAAGAACCCAATTGGGGTTTTCCCATTGCCCTTTTCATCGCCTACTGAGAGATCAAACCTCTGTGCTTTGATTTTTTTTTTTTCTTTTGCTTATTATATTTTTCCTGTGTTCCATGGGGCAGTTTTGAACTATTGAATTTACTATGAAGAACAAGAAAAAAAATATTGCTGTTCTGACATGCCGCACGTTCACTGTGAAATGAGAAGAGGCTTAAGATGCTCAAAATCCCTAAGTAACAGGGATCAGCAACAGAATTAATAATTACTCTATTCGATTGTAGACAGGGAAATATGGGGTGTGAATGTAGTGGTGTGCAGTGTTTGACGCTCAGGTGCCAGAGTTTGGTTGTGAGGGAGCCTTGCTCCGGGCTGCTGCAAGGCCTGCTTCAGAGCCCCAGCTTCCCGCCACGGCTGTGTGTGAGGGAAACTGGGAGCTCTTCTCTCGTAGGCTTTCTCTTTCAGCTTCTGATGTCTTGTGGTTTGCTTGACGACAGTATTTTCTGTCAGAGGTGTCACAAACATGTAAAATTCCATGGCTGAATCATGGAGGTGTGGCCAGTCACCTAGTAAGGCATCAACAACCTCCAGTGGGAGCACGATGCCAGAGCTGTGCTGGCCGTGTCACAGGGACATACACTGCAGGTCACGTATTGGTATTTCTCTGTCTAATGGATAAACATCCTTCAGAGACAGAGAAGTCCTCCAGTACCAGTGGGTCTGTCAAGTAAGTAACGGGGGGCAGAGGGTAAGTAAGCTAGTATCTAGCTTAACTTGAGAGTTTTGTTATTTTAAAAAACATTCAAGGTTTCAATCACTGTGCTCAATCTCAAGTTGCTGCAAGCAAAAAGGTGGAGTTGGAAAAGAACAAGAAGGCACTGAGATAACTTTTTCTTCAGACTTTTGTTGGTTAGGTGTCACTAGCATAGCAGCTTGGGCTATGACAGAGTGCATAAACCTACATAAATGCAGTTCTCTTACAATTTATGTTTGGGAAAAAAAGCTCATGAGATTATTATCTGGAAATGTAAAGAAAAAATAGTTTTAGAACTTTTTTTTTTTTAATTTATGTTATGAGCATGGACTGACTTAATACTTGAAGGATGCAGAGTATGTGTTTTTGCTATGGTGGTTTTGTTTAGTTTTGTCTTTTCATGCTAATACATTCAAGAAAACTGCTTATTTTACAGTATTGCTTTTCTGGCCATCACTTGTACATCATGTTTTATCCAGTTCGAAAATGAAAAAGCATTAAAACTAAAAATAAGTCTGATTTTTTTTCCCTACAGTTATGTGCTGCAGAAAGTGCAGCTTTTACTTCAGCAGAAAACAAGGCTTTGATTTATTTTTTTGAAGACTTTTGTATTGGTCTTTGTTAAATTATTGCATTGCATTATGAAATCCTAGTTGTAGGATGTCTAACAATAAACAATTCCTTGCTTTGCTGGATATGTTGCAGAATTAAAAATACATATAATTTTACATATAGGTATCAACAGTAGTAAATGAATATCTTAAAATGGTATCATACTTTCTGCATTTCCTCCCCTCTTTAAAGCTACATCATGTTCTGTCTTCCTATTCCATTTTACCAAAGGATTTGTATACTGAAGCATTCCTGAAATATTTTGGAAAAATCTGCCATGAGTTTTGAAGTAAATGCCATATTTTCTAAGGGTTTTCTTGATAACCTCTGTTTAATAGCAAAGCTCCAGTGGTCCTTGTTACGATAGTCTTACAGAGGTAGAAAGCTTGAGCTAATGGGGTGATGAAATTAGTATAGTGAATAACATCTGCAAATAAAGTGAAACTCTATTTTAATTACTTCTCTTAAGAAAAACAGCTTGTGGTATAGCTGCCGTTCATGTGTGTTGAACAGAGGTTAATTCATTTTTGCTTTTAATGTGCTTCTTAATGTGGACACAGCATTCACGAAACTACATTTCGTCAAATATTCCCTGTGCTTTAGCACTTTCCCCACCTTTGCCTGACTGGGTGCATTTATCTAAGAATCTGTGGTTTTTACAGTATAAAAAACACCCTAGAATTCTAACTCACAAACTTTTTTTGTTGTTGTTATTGACAGATGATGATGTACCTGCAGATATGGTTGCAGAAGAATCAGGTCCTGGTGCACAAAATAGTCCATACCAACTTCGCAGAAAAACTCTTCTACCTAAAAGAACAGCTTGCCCTACAAAGAACAGTATGGAGGTAACTTGATTTGGTTTCAACTGTGAAGTAGTACTTGTCTCAGAATAGGCAGCGCTTTCTATAACTTACCTAGTGACTAAATTAATTCTGATTTATTTTGTTAAAGGGTGCCTCCACTTCAGCTACTGAAAACTTTGGTCACCGAGCTAAACGTGCCAGAGTATCTGGAAAATCCCAGGATTTATCAGGTAATAACTCTGTACAAAGATTAGGGGGCACATCTTTGATACCTGCCCCCTTCCCCAACTTCTTTCTTCTTTTTCTCCACCTGAGAAACTTCAGTAAAAGGACAACTAGAAACTTGTTCTGAGCTTCAGATTTGGAACCTTGGTTTTAGTCTGACTTTAGAATCTGATCCCTGGTACAGATTTTTATTTCAAACCTTCCATTTTACATCCCCTCCTACATGTTGTCGTTCTCTCTTTGAATTTCTGTACTATTTAAGAATCATTTAACCATAGGTTTATATACTTGAAATGACCAAAACCAAACATCAGCTTGTAATTTTACTTCCAGTTTCATTTCCCAGTCTGATACTGAAAGCATGGTGCAAAGTCTTAGTATCATAAGCTCAATTTCTCTCTACAGTTTGTGATTTTCCTTCAAGGTTGTTCTCTTCTGATACATTTTTCATTATGCTCTTACTGACCTCCTTACTTTATTGATGTGGGTAATTTTGTATAAAATCCTCACACCACACGTGACACTTAAAAGGGAATTTTCCACGTTTGCTGCATGTTGCTTTTGTTGCATTACTGAGCTCATTTGGGCAAGGTACTGGAATTGTGGAGCTGGAATTGCAATTCCAGCATGGAATTGCAAACTGTTTTTTGTAATTGTACTCTTGAGATTGTATTGAAACAAGTCACAGCTGGACAAGGGAGTGTTCTTGTCAAACTATTTGCTATTAATATCTCTCACAATATGGATGATGGTTACTCTTTTTATTTTCCCTTTGAGTTTTCTGAGATGTGACTCTAAATTTGTGCCTATGCTAATTGCTACAATATTTTCTTGCCTTTTTGTTGTAGTTGTTAGCAAAGATAATGGTAGCTATTGTGACTGAGTAAGCATGAGATTTTCTGGAATATCATGAGTGGGAATGGTATGTTATCATTTGAAACATATAGCTGTTTACTTAAGAACTGTAGGTGAAATGAAGGTGTGGGTCTAGTAATGCAGGGTTATGTCTGGGCAGAGAACCATTCTTCCATGTATGGACTCTGAAAAGTGCTTTTGAGTGTGTCCATCTGGATGAGAATCAGAAACGGAAGAAGACTATTCCTAATTTTCATCCTTATTTCAGAAAAACTGCTGCTCTGAAATAGTTGCTATTTCAAAATTTTAATGTGTTCTTCCTGACAGTATTCCAAACTTTTTTTTTATTATTTCAAGTTTTGACATATTTTTTTTCTTTTCTCTGCAACTCTGTCCCCCAGTAGTCCTGGTGCTAAAGGACAGTGGCTTCCAGTCCTTAGATAGGAAGATTAATGAATATAGTCATCTTGATGAGAAAGTCACATGTTACAGAAAACACGCAAATCCATTCACTTAAACCCTTTTCAGTAGAATAATAAGAAATGAAGAAAATACAAGTTTAGAAAAGAAAAAAGTATTATTGAGTTGTGTTTCTTACATCAGATGCATAAGCAGATTTTAAATTCAGTATTGTTCTGACTGTCTCCTTATATCAACTGAGCTGTAAATGTCTGCTTCCGCTGTGAACTTTCAACCTTCAGTACCACTTGTCTTCTGTTCTCTTCCTTTTTGTTTATTATTTGTAGGGCTTTTTTTCCTCTCACGCTACATCATATATTTGCATTTTCATGTTATACTGGGTAGTTGCTGCCTTTTAACCATCTTTGGAAGAATTGAGTTCAGAGACAATTCGTTTCTTTTTTTTTTTTCACTGAACTCAAGTTGCAGTACATACAGAAACTCTTGGTTATTGGATCATTTATTGGTTATTCTATACATCAGAGAAGTCCATAGCCTGTGGCTCACAGAACTTAATACCTTTTTGAATTTTTGAATTTTGTATTTTTTTGCCTTTTCCTAAAGATTTATATCCAAAATCACGTATGCCATGTTTTCTGACATCTGTTTCTTAGCAAAAAAATACGTTTACTAACGACCTCTGTTCAAAGCAAAAGCTGTTAGGCACTGTCCTCACCATTAAATGGACAAAAATTGGGATCCATACAATACATAATTTACAACTCAAGATTCACAGAATGGCACTCTTCACCTTTGTACAAAGGTTAAATTTACTTTCAGGCAACTTTTCCTGCTCTCCATCTTGGTAATACTATACTATCAACAGAAGTAAAAATAAAAATAGAAAAATAAAAAGAATTTGAATTCAAGCACATCCTGTGGAAAAAGAATGATGTAGCCAGCTATGTTTCTAATTTTTAACTTTTTACTATATTAGCTCTTTATTAATAATCACCAGTATTTGAATTGTCATGTTAGAGTAGTGGTCAAGGTTGGTAAGAGCCTCTTACATTTTGTCTTTTTTTAAATTTTGCTTTTATTCATATTGACAAAATGAAGGTTAAGTATGAAAGCTTTTCAAGCATATGAAATATTGTACTGCTGTTCCTGACAGTTGGAAAACTAACAATTCTGCTTTAGTCACCAGGTAGGGCAATGCAGTTTTAAAGGTCTGTTTTTTTAAACTTCGGAAAAGAACATACCTGCACCTTGCCTCTAACTGAGCAGAAAGGCAGCTTGAGTGTCTTACTTCTGAAGAAAGTAATGTGGAAGTAAGGTAAAAGTGGAAGAGGACAGCAAATGCTTGTAAAAAAAAAAAAAAATCTCCATTTTGCGAGTAGTGCCTAATTAAATGCCTTCCAGTTAAAATTGCTTGGAAAATTGCAATATGTGATGTTGTTGGTTTTTCCTCAAGAAGAAATTTTTTTGTGCTGTCAAAGTTGGTTGCTATTTCTTCCAGTGACAGAAACACATTTAGATACAGTTTTTTTTTATCTTGTTTGTGGCCAAGGAAGGAAACAGAAAGAATTTCTGAGCAATGGGAGACACTATACAAGTAACTTCCCCTTTCCATTCAAACTTAGTCAAGTCTTAACTTATATGTAAACGTAAAGGAAGATGAAGTCCTGCAGGCTGTTTAGTCAAGAAACCAATTGTCTAGGGAGGAAGATAACATTGCATGCCTCAAACATTTGTGTGTTAAAAGCAGAAGACAGGTCATGGGAGGTCTCTGAGAATATTTACTGTCTTGTGTTCACAACATTACATTTTAGCTTTTAAGATTGTGTCTCCACATCTAACTGGAATGCTCCCAGAAAAAGATGAAATCAGAAGCAGTGCCCAGCAATCCTGTGATGCATTTCAAGGGTAATTAGGACTGTAGAATGAGTTGCTGTTGCCTGTTTGATACAGCAAAAAACTTCAACTCCAGTGGAAAAATACCTTCTTAAAAACCAGCACTTAATGTGCAGGTAGCAGTTTTGGATGACTCCTGGCTGTACTCAGCTCACGAGTTGGCACATGTTCCCTATATCTTGGGTTCTTCAAGTCTATCTCGAACATAAGACCTTTCCAGATGACTTGCTTGCACTTCATTAGTTTGGATAATTTACTGGCTTCAGCCTGTAAGATTTTTATTATTAAAAATAATAATAAAGTGTGTGGCATTAATAATACTGCTACTGAAAAGAACCGTCTTGCCTGACTTCTGGACATTCATTCCTGTCTCCTTCCTTTGCACCCATGCTGGTGGTTCTGTAGCTTGATAACAAGCTGCACTGAAGAGTTGGTCCAGAAAAATGTTAATTTGGAGGGAGGCAGGTATGAATGAGGAAGAAGTTCTGGTGGTTCTTTCTTCTCTCATCATCAATACTAGCACTTTAAAAATTTATTTTGAGAGAGAATAGTGAGACTTTTGTACAGCATTGATTTTTGTTTGACTGGAGTGGTGTTTATGTAGAGCTTCTGCCCCTCTCTTGTTACATTATTAAGACCAGCAGGGAAAATTGGCTTCTGTGAATCACTTGTTGCACCATTATATGAATGTCACCCAAGGAACAGGTTTATGGAAGTCACTGCAGAGTCAACAATGTTTCAGAGGTTCTGCCATCTTGTATATGTTAGAGAGACCTCATTTGGAAACTGTTTTTCTGAATCTAACTCCGTCAAATTTAGTAGTCTTCTGTCTGAGGGTCACTTCAGTGTTCTCTCTGTAATAGTCAGAATCACAGTTGTATTGCTCCCTTGGTTTAGATGTTCTAGGAAAAAATTAATAATGCAAGGAGCATTACATGGATGTAATTGCATTATGAATATAGCAGAAGCTCTTAATGCCTTGCATACAAATCCACTAAAAGTTGGAAGCTGTTCTGTATGGTTCTGCTTGAGAAAAGATCTTAAAGGCAATAACCAAACAGATGACCTCTAAAAACAAAACTACTCTGTTGCAAAGATACCTGCCATGGAAGGTCCTCATGAGAATGCAGACTGCAGATGGCCTTTTTGCTATAAGCTGTTGTATGTGATGTGCACAATGGCAAAGCAATGAGAAGAATGCCATATTCTCAAACCTTTCTCAAAAAATGCATCATCAGGCAAGCCTAGTGCTTCATTTGGCTTCATTTTTATTTTTCTTTTTTAATTTTATGAGAAAACACGTAAGTAGGAGTAAGTAGAAGGATATCTTGGATTTACTGCTTGATGGTTTCCTACATCCCAGGCATATTCCTTCATAATGTATTTGTTGTATGGAGGTGGGGAAGTTTTATTTGTATCTTCTTCAGATTGACTGTTTTTGGGTAAATTCCTTTGTTTCGTAATATTTGAACTGCTGACTCTGGTACTGGATCATTATTATGTGGATAGTATGGGTTAGTTGAGCCACAGCAAAGCTAATAATAAAGAGCCAGTGTATCTGAAATACACTTAGTAGCTGTTTTTTGTCAATCTATAGCTTCTACCTGACACCAGGGTCAACGATTTATCTAGTTTTATCTTCAAAGTTTGATGAAGGGCACTTAAAATTTGAGATTTTTAAACTTTAAGTTGGAATCTTGCAAATGGCAAGTTGGCCATGTATTTTGATTAGAATTTGGACTGCTTAAATATGTCAGTAACCTTACATAAATCACTGTTTAATAGCAGCACCTGCAGAACAGTATCTTCAGGAAAAGTTGCCAGATGAAGTGGTTCTAAAGATCTTCTCCTACCTGCTGGAGCAGGATCTCTGCAGAGCAGCTTGTGTGTGTAAACGCTTCAGTGAGCTGGCTAATGATCCAATTTTGTGGTAAGTGAAAAGCTATTCCTCATTATCTAGAGAAATATAAGCTGTGCTGCATGAGATGCCAGGACAATGGAGAAAATGAACTATTGGTTAGGAACTGCAATTAGTTGCATTTAAACAAATTGTATTTCAATATCTCTGGTTTACACAAGCATTATTTGGTTACTTATGAATTTCTGATCAGGCGTGTTAAACAGTAACACTTCTGATTCTCTAGTTGTATAAATACTAGTTAAATAATGACTTTAAATGCAGTGATTCCTTCAGCAGCCACTCCTTCTGTTCTTCCCCTCTTTAACCTTGTTCAGATTTCCATGGGGTTTGTATTTGACTTGAAAAGAAATGCATATCTTGATGTCAAATGCACGTTGGTCTGGTGTTACATATTTTGGGGTTTGGTTTGGCTTCTTTTTCTTTTTTTGCTTGTTTTTGTTTTAATGTTTGGATACTCTGGTTGTTTTCTGACACATAAGTTCACTCACCCTGGGGTTATTTAGAATGTGGATTAACAGGATCTAAATTAACATTATTTAATAAGGAAAAGTAGTGTGTTTCTTATGCTGGGATTTGTTTTGTTCTTTGTTTCGAGGTAGAGATTAATGCTAATAACAGAGTTTGAGTATGGCATCACAGAAGTGCTCTTTTGTTTTGTCCAAGTGAATTTTGGTGACATTTTGTTAGCTGAGTTACATTTTCTAACATTCAGTGGCATTCTGTAAGGCTAGACCTAATGTCATTCAGCTCAGGCACTGCAACTATTTGTATTCTGATACTAAACAAAACAATCCAGTTGTTTTGTAGCTGGAGCATTATTTTCTTCTAGGCTTGTGTAATCTGTCCAATGATGGAATGTTTCTTGAGATATGGTAAATCATTTGTTCTCTTTGAATGCATTTTTTTCAGCCTTCTTTTTTTTTTTTTTTTTTGGTAAGGTGAAGAATTGGTGGCACACTTAATAGTGTTTTGTTGTACTTACGATAGCTTTCCTAAGTGCTAAAGCACTGCTGCAGTTAATATACAATTAGACACTGATTTCACAAGCAGTGTAGCTTAAAAGAAATTCTCCCGACATTTCAGTTACATGTTGAGAATGTGACCATTTGGATCCTGATCAGAAGTTATTTTACAAAACCACAGAAGTCAGTCCAGTAGAGAAATTGCTTGGAAAGTGTTTAAGTGTTTGGTACTGATCTTTTTCAAATTCATTGTCATGAACTATGTCAAATGCTATCGGGGAAAGAAATATATGTGTTTTTAGTGCGGTGTATTAAAATGAAAGAGGAATGTGTAGTACGTTAATTTTCTTCTGTGATTGACACTTCTACTCAGGAAAAGACTGTATATGGAAGTATTTGAGTACACACGTCCAATGATGCATCCTGAAGCTGGTAAATTTTATCAGATTAATCCAGAAGAATATGAACATCCAAATCCCTGGAAGGAAAGCTTTCAGCAACTGGTAACAGTAGTATTAATTTATATTTCAATTTAAAGGTGATTTATGAAAGTAAGAAATCTCGACTTCTGAAACATAGCTGACAATACAGCAATGATTTGGGTTTTGGAATTTAAAGTAAGTGAGATAGCGAGACTAAGGAGATGAGGAGAGATTCCTGTGTTGTTATGCAATAGGTGAATATCTGAAGTTATTTCTTGATTTCAGCGATGTTGTAATCAGGTATATTAAACGTGTGCATGCTGATTTAGAGATTCATACACTTCTTCCTCTAGCAAAAGAAAGATATCACTTGGGCTTAAATAGTGATTTACAGCTGACATGATTGGAGTTAAGCAGATTACTTTAAAGGCATGTGATTGAACCTCTAATCTGAAGTATCAAAACACTGTAGGAATGTCTGGGTATGATATTTGAAAAATGTACAAGAGGGAAATAAATAAAATAGCAAAATTGATCTGTTAGACAATGTGATGTATATTTGTTTTTAAACTTCAGAAGTTCATTAACTAAAACTTGGTATCTTGGTTCAGTACTAAATCCGATGTGAAGGTGTACAAGATCATTTTTTTTCACCATATAAATGCAATTTGTTTTGTGGTAAGCAGCTACAGTCAAAATATGGAAATAACAGCATTGTTTGTGGAGTACATAAGGTACACAGCATTTATTGTCATGTTTCAGTTCCTTCATAGGCCTTTGGCTTTGTAAGCAGGCTGAGCTCTTGGTTTAGCTGGTCACTCTTTAAAGATTCAGACTGTTTTTGGTGCAGCCATTTACAATTGAGTGCCTGATGTGGGAAGTCAAATATGATACTTAGATCCTGAAACTAACTGAAAATAGCAAATAGCTTGTTAAGTGATAAATAGATCACTTATCTGTACATTCAGATGTCTGGCTGTGCGTTCAGCTCCACCTGTCTGCAACTTATCATAAACTGTTTTCCCTGTTTCAGTACAAAGGAGCGCATGTAAAGCCAGGTTTTGCTGAACACTTCTACAGTAATCCTGCAAGATATAAAGGAAGAGAAAATATGTTGGTATGTTTCTAAGCAGTTATTCTTAAGAATATTTATGCATCTCTGCATGGATGTCTCTCTGAACTTCTTCCTTTTCTTCCAGTACTATGATACCATTGAGGATGCTCTTGGTGGAGTTCAGGAAGCTCATTTTGATGGACTTATCTTTGTTCACTCTGGTATATATACTGATGAATGGATATATATTGAATCTCCAATCACCATGATCGGTGCAGGTATTTAAACTGAGAACATTTTTGTCTAAAGGCATGACTTGCGTTAACTACTGCCTTTGTTACAAAGATATTCTGGTGTATTAAGTATCTGGTATAAATGCCAGTCTTTCTTCATGAGCCTAGTGAAATAAATATTTTCTGTACAAAAAATTGTTAATGCTTCAGACCAAAGTACCATCATCTGCTTGTTAGTTCTAGAAATAACTTTTTATTTTATTAGGAGAAAAATTGAATTTGTCAGGAGGTATATTCAGTTAGGACTCCAATTGAAATTTTCAGGTGGTTCATATGAAATTTGTTTATATATAACTTATCTCCAGAGTAGAACTTAGCAGTGGGAGCAAGACCAAATTAGTATCTGTCCCATTTTCTTCAGCATTATAATTTCATCTTGAGGAAGGAATGAGAACATCTAGTAGAAAGATTCTGAGACTAGAGGTTCTTTCTCTGTTCATCTCCCAACTGTTCCTCTAAAAAAGAATCCTTTGTGGAGAAGAAAATAATCTATTCTGAATGTCTTGGGGAGTTAATACACAATAATTCACCTGTCTGCAAATTGTGGTGCTAGAGTAGCTGTTTGCTTCTTTGTTCTTATTGTGAGCGTACTAATCCTGAGTAGCACAATCGACCGGTAAGAATTTAAATTCCCTTTGTTTGGTAGAAATTTTTGTTAAGAGATCTTGAACTTCTTGCTTCTATGGTGACCATAAGTCATTTTCATCTCTGTGCATTTTTTTGAGATTAAAAACATATATATATCTCCTAAAGTGTTTATTTGTTCTGACTACCAACTGTCTTGTTCCAGAGTGAATCTCTTTCTGGCACTTCCTGCCTGGGTGTTGTAATCTTGGAGAGAGAACTGTTTTGACCATATGAGGCAGATAGTTCCACTGTTAGGCTTAAAACTGGCTCCTGCAGATCAGCAAGGTGCATCTGAATTACTGTGATAGTTTGTCAGTTCAGGGCTGTGCTAATAGTACTGAGTGTGCTGAACTTCCCACTTATAGTACGTAGGTTTGTTATGGAGAGGTTTTGGAGCACAAACTGAATTCCTTTTGGATGAGACTAATCTAAGACATGTTCCTGGAATACACTTGCTGCACTCTAGCAGTCTGCGTGCATTCAGTCAAAGGGACCAGGCTAGGACTAATCCAGAGTCACAGTTGCTTCTTCCCTGCCTGTTCTGCAACAAACATGGTGTGGGTGTCAGCTCCTCAGCACTGACACGTTTAACTCTGTAGTTCCACTCCTGGTATGTTGCAGTGCTTGCCAAATGCAGGCACAGCCTTGGAGATTTAACAAAAATACTGACCTGGCTTCTGTTTCAGTTAGAGGGTGACAGTAATAGATACTAGGGCAAGAGTCATACTCTTTCAGTGTTTAAAATCCAGATCAGACTGGATCAGCACTGTTCTAAGATATTTTATATCTCAGTTTCTAGATGAAATTTGGAAGGACATCTTTGATACCTGTTTACACTTCTGCATACTCTCTGGTTTCTCTCAAGAAAGACCCTCTGTTACAGTAATTCCCTTTCCCTGGAATTATCTTCAGTTATTCAGAAAATCAATTTTATATGCAGGTCTTGGAAAGCAAGAGATCTGCATTGTGTATTTTTGTAATTGAATAGCTGTCTTGGGGAGCAAAATCTCCAAAAGTGAATCAGAAATACAAGATGTATTTGTTTCGGTTTCTGGCACTGCTGTCTCTTTCCCTTGTCAGACTTCCTACACTAAATGGTCAGTGTCTTTGTAGAGGGAGTCAATCTTAAATTGTCCAGAAAAGAAAACAAGTTAATGTGAAGCACTAAGCCTTAGAGATCCTTCTCTTTCCAGTTCAATCTGTGCTTTTCAGAATGGTAGGGCCAAAACTCTTTTTAATTTGAAATCAGTCTTCTTTAATGATTTCTTCTGTGGACTTGTGAAGAAATGCAGCATTTCTAGAAAGGCATACCTCAAACTCCGAAGTTTTGTTTTCTCAAATAAGAAAAATGCTCTTACGGAATAGGGTCTAGTATTTGATTTCTTCTGTTTAATTTTGGTGTTTTATTTTGTTGGATTTGGGTAAATGAGGGGGTTTGCAAGGAAGGCTTTGAAGAAATTATCATAGTAATAATATCAGAGTATCCTGGGTTGGAAGGGACACACAAGGATCATTAAGTCCCAACTCCTGGCTTCATACAGAAACTAACTGAAAATTAAACCCTATGACTAAGAGCATTGTCTAAACACTACTTTAACTCTGGCAGGCTTGGTGCTGTGACCTCTGCCATTGACTGACTAGCCCCCAAATATTGTTGGCCTTTTTGGCCATCAGGGCACACTGTTTATTCATTCAGCTTGCCATCAACTGAAACCTCCAGATGCCATTCCACAGGACTGCTTTGCAGCCTCTCATCCTCCAGTCTGTTCATTCATCCAGAGTTGCTCCATCCCAGGTATGGGAATCCAGCCCTGCTTTTGCTGAACTTCCATGGTTGGTGATTGCCTAACACTCTTAATTTGTGAACATCTCTGCAAGGTCTTTACTCTTCAGGGATTCAACAGCTCTACTTAATTTAGTATCATCCGCAAACTGGCTTTGTTTGTATTTGAATCCTGCATCCAGGCTACTTTTAAAAACATTAAAGAGAACTGCCCCTAAAGTAGATCCCTGGAGAACCCCACTGGTGCCTGATGTAACTCAGCTTACTATAACCATTTGAACCCAACTCATATTATTTACTTGGCTAGCAATATGCTGGACATTTTGTCCAGGATGCTGTAAGAGAAAATACCAAAAGCTGTGCTGAAATGGGAAAAAAATAAAATAACAATATATACTGCCTTCCCTTGGTCATCTAAGTGGGTGACCTTGTCATAAAACAAATTATTAGTAATGTGGCTTATCTAAACCATCAAGTAGGAAGCAAGAGTAGAAGTCCTGTTCTGATGCATCTAGTTCAGTGGACAGAAATGCCTATTAACTTCTTAATAAATAAATATTTTTTAAGATTTGGAGGGGTGGACATGGGAGAGAAGTAGGTGAAGGGGAGTCAGCTATATGCAGGAGTGCAGGCCTTCTGTGGAGTTCTCACGTCACTCAAGATGGCAGAACTCCTCTTAACTGCTTCAGCAGTTATCCATATATGTATCTTTATCTGAAAGTCTTAATTGATTTCTTTTTTTGCCCTGTATTATGGGAGATAGGGCTTTCATTTTCCACTTGATTTAAATAATGTGCAGAAAGTGAAAAGGGAATTATTGAAGTATTTTTCCAGTAAAGGAAAAACAGTGACAATAAGAACAATAACTGTAATTTTAAGGATAGTAAAATCTAAAATGGTGAGGAATGTCACAGTTAAATACTTTTTGTGTTCAAAAAGGTCCTTTCATAGCCTGAACTCCTTTTCAGGTACCTGTTCTGCATCTTTGAACTGGAAATACATTTGACAAATTTAATGCTGTGTTGTTAATTATGGATTTTCTAGAGTTCGGAACCTAGGAGGATCTCAGCATTTTGCCTGTTATGATTGCAGAGGGTCTTAACAATTATTTTCTGCAGAATCTGGTGTTATTTCCTGTTAATGCACTGAAAACTGAAATCATTTCATGCATTTTTAGGAATTAAATAACTCTGATGCTACATCCAGTTAATTTTTTAATTGTTTTAACTAATTTATTTTTAAAAAATGGGCAGTCTTATTTATAGGTTTTCTGTTAAACTGTTTCTAAAGTAGTTTCATTTGGGGCCATTATACTGTAGTTGAACTGATCCTATGGAATGTTGACTCTCTTAGACTTGGCAAATGGACTTCTTTGCTTGATTATAAAATTAATGGTCCTTTTCTTTGTCTTTTCCTGTTCTTATATTGGTTTATCTTTTCTAAGGCCATCTGAGCCAAAAATTGAAATAGAGATATTTCTCTGAATAATTATTTTGTGAAGACTCAGTAAGTTGGAGCATAAAATTTCTTTGATTCATTTAAAATGAAAGCAGTGCTGAAACAAGTCCCCTTCCCTTTTAAGCCTTTTCCTGGTGGATCATCTGAACATACTGGTCTTACTAATTGGCATGTTCCATAATGGGTGTTCTGGGACCACCCAAACTCAGACCTGTAAGTTAACTCTTGTGCTGAGAGGAAGGAGATACCTGTAGTGAACAGCACGTGAGTGCACGGCTGTGTATACCAGTGCGTTTACACCATGGTGAAAAAACATCCAGTAGATATGTTACCAGGCCACACAAAATTGTTTTGTACAGTAATACAAAGCCTCTTTTAGTTATTGTCTGGTAGTGAGCGAATAGTGGTATGAAGAGCTAGACTACCTTAAAACATTTGCTGTAGTGAAAGCAGAGATCTGGCTTTTAGATAGTGAGAACAAGCTGGATAATGATGTAAATATTGCTTCATTCTGACTGGCACCTTTCTGCCTGAGTGATAAAGAACAGGACATACCACTTGTCTCTTCTCGTGTCAACAGACAACAGAAAAATCTGCTGGTGAGAAATCCTGTGCATAGGCTCTTCAATAAAATAGAAAATTGAGGGCAAATCTGTCTGTATTTGCATATCTCTTGTTTCGAAATTGATTGCAACTCTCAGCCATTCCCATAACTTATTTGCTATAATTTGTGAAACTTGAATGTTTGCATTTCATACATTGAGGAAGGATTGCTCTCGCTTGCATATTTAATGTGCAGTTTTGAATTAAACAGTCTCTTGCTTGTGAATGAGTATCACTGTAAATTTACACCATTCTTAAGACTGTTGTTAACTTGTGCTCCCTCTGCTGGCTTTTGCAGTACATATGTAAGAGTGTTCTGCCTTTGGCTTAAGGATGAAAATATAGCAGAGCCTTGCTGTTAATGTGGGAAATCAATCTGTAGATTATGGGAACATGGAAATAAACTATTTTGAAACCTTCAGAAATAGAGCTCAGTCTTGTTGTACAAGATTTTCTTGTAAATAATAATGAAGAAACCACTTCAGCTCTGAGAGGTGTTGAGAGTCATTGCTGATTACTGAGGTCATAAGCAGATTACTAATTTGTTGTATAAATTGGTTTAAATTAGTGATGAAATGTATGTATTCAGGTTTAAGAAAAGAGTTTAAAATACCAACTGGGCTATATTTGGTAAGAGAATTACAGTGCCTCTAGACTAGAACCTGAGTTTGTTGAACTGTGAAGTTTTTATACAGAAAGCGTGCTGGTATTTTGCAGCTAGTGTTTTTTTTCCTTGTACAAATGTTCAGTTTGTACCTTATTTTAATGAGGAGTTATTTTTCCAGATATTCCAACAAACTAGAAGTCAGAAAAACTAGCTCTGTGTAAGAGAAGATTTTCTTATGCTGCTAGATGTTGAATTGGTACAAGATTGTTAGACTACTTTTTTCATCAACTTTGAAATATTGATGTGATACCAAGATTTCTATGTTCCAGAAATAATGTTCATTTTCTTCTGTTGTTGCCTTGAACAGAATTCTTTGAGGACCTTTTTTCACCAGCATATGCTAAAAACTTAGATTTCATGTTTTGCAGCTCCTGGAAAAGTAGCAGATAAGGTTATAATAGAAAACACTAGAGATTCCACCTTCGTTTTTATGGAGGGTTCTGAAGATGCCTATGTTGGATATATGACAATCAGGGTAAGCATCTGAAACTGGAGTGGAGCTTTTAATAATCTCATTTTAGTGCCTGAGCCAATAGATAAATACTTGTTTTCCTTTTTCAGTTCAATCCTGATGACAAATCTGCTCAGCACCACAATGCACACCACTGCTTAGAGATTACCGTGAACTGCAGTCCAATTATAGATCACTGTATTATTCGAAGTACTTGTACAGGTTGGTGGGCTTTTGATTGTTTGAGATTGACATTGCTTAACGCTGACTAATCTAACCAGAGTGCGTGAAAGCAGCACACAAATTATGACTAATGTTGACATGTTTCTTTTCTTTTTTTGTGCAGGTATTCATTACAGAGCTTTAAACTTCTTTAACTTTTAGTGACATTATTACCAAGATATGGGTCCAGAACCTTTGCTGGCATGTATGCTTGGCCTTCCATTTGAGTCACTGTGGACTCATTGGGCAGTTAGTTTAAAACCAGAACAGGAGAGTTTTTATATAAAATTTATTTGTTTCTGGTTTGCATAATTGTAGCTGGCAGGAGACAGCATTTGAAGGGGGCATATGTGGGTCTTTTACGTTAGATTCATTACAGCGTGCACTGCTGGAATTTGATGACATTAAAACTGTTTGTGAGCTATAACTCTTATGCTAAGTTCTCTTTCCTGTCAGGAGTGGAAAGGATTTTATGTGTGCTAAGTATGAGTTGCTAGCTATACTGACAGAAGAAATACATGATGTGAATGGTTAAACACTCGTTTCACTATCAGAGATGATGAGAAATTTAACCATCAGTAGAATAGGATTTGGAAAGAGGGTCAGAGGCAGTGAAGGTCTGGGAGGCACTGTGACAGTTACAGGCACTGGAAACAAGACATGGCAATTCAAAAGAAGACATAGCAAGTTTTAACATGTTCAAAAACAAGCAGATAAAGTATAGTTGGAGAATCAGAAAAAAGAGGTGAAGATGAATGGAGATACTGAGTCTTTGCATGGAAACCACAATATAAACGCTAGATATCTAAGTTCAGGTGGTGAAGTGGAATGAATCTACATAGCAGGCTGTCCATAATTGTTGCTCAGCTCAACACTGAAACAGGGAAATTAGGAGATCTTCAGCTAGACATAGACTATATTTTTCTGGTGCGAACAGGAAATCCTCCAGGGAACTGTAATGAGAATAGTGGAAGGATTCCTTTGACTGTGCCTCATAGAGGCTCTCACATGCTCTTTCTTAGAGATTTCAAGTTGTAAAACTCTACCACAGTTACAAATAAGGCAGCTCTGCTTCGCATTGCCATCTGTTTTATAGGAGACAGGTAGCTATTATGGGAAAGTGATAAGATATGAAGAAGGAAGGATAGCTAGCTACTCTCAGTATCTTGACTTCTTTAATTTTACCTTTTTTAAACTTAAATGCTGGGAATTACAAGGATGTGAAATGAGTTTGTTCTTTCTATTCATCTGCATAATATTGGGGACCCCATGAATGGGAGGGAATTAAAATAATTTATTGGACTACCTTAAACTTCCTTTGAAAAGCAGCTTAAAGAGCTGCATGGTTTCATATTGGAACATGTTTATCTGTAAGCTAGTAGGTCTTGATGTTTTTGTGAAAAATATTTGTAAAAGTTGTTTTGATTTTTCCTGGCCACTGTTTGTTATGACAAGCCATTTCTGATAATTTTGGACTTTTGTCCTCTTCAGCCCACTGGATTGCTGAATTTTGGCTGCACTGTGTTTGTTTCTCTGCTCTGAAGTCAACATTTCTGGTCAATTTTGGAGGGAGTGCGTAGGCTGTACTGTCAACGCTTATTGATTATTAATTTTTATTGACTTCTTAATTCTACCAAGCCTTGCTATAACCTACTCAGGAAGTATTGAGTGCATGTAAAAAAGGTAGGAAGAATGGCAGTCTGCCAAAAAAGGCATTTACTGTTTCCAAGTCAGTGGCATCTCTGAAATATTGATCCATAAGCATTCAAAAACTCTCTCCTCGCACATGCTTGATACCCTTTCTTTAGATCTCCTAATTGCATTAAAGCATCTTTCTACACTGTTATATGTAAAGTTCTTAATGTATGTAATATATCTAGATGGGAGCTGTATGAGTAATTTCAGCTGAAGGTCTCTTACTGCCAGTCCAAAGCATCTTTGAAACGAAGTTTAAGTGGCAAGATTCCGAGTCCAGATATTCTGCATTAATTTCAGAGGAAATCTGTATTAGTTCTCATCTCGATAGGTAAAAACAGACATTGATGGAAGAGAGCCTCATTTATTTATTCAAGTGTTGCTCAAGTGTATGCAGTTATTATATTCTGGGTTAAGAATAAATAAATAAAGCCTGAAACAGTAATATATGTGCTTAGTACTCTTGAAGTACCAATTTCACACAACAAATAAGTCCACTGAAGTGAGTCAGAATAAAGATTACATTTTTTAATAATGAAAATGTGATAAGAGCAATACTTCTAGAGCCTTTTATTGAGTTCCCAAAAATGCAGAATTAGCTACCAGATAATACAAGTAGGCAACAAGTAAGAATTCCCAGAAACTGTAGTAAATCCTTCCCCTCAGCAGAACACGAGCCTTTCATTGAAATGGGGATTCTTTCCTTCTGAGGAGAGGAAGGCCCTGAAAAACAAGAGGACAATTGAGTTAGAAGAACTTAACTTGGAAAGAGGGCTTCAGTAGTGATGCTGGTCTGTCATAGATAAAGAATTTGAATGGCAAAGTGTTGTGTAATTTTTGTTCCATATTTAATGAGAACAGGTAGGAATGATAAATGTGCTTGTACCCTAGAGGGATGGTGAAGTATGTTCCACTCTGACAGTAAGAGTTGGATGAGGTTAAACAGCTGTAAAAACTGGCCTTCTAAAATCACAAGGGCTTAAAAAGCACTGGCCAAAATGTCTTCTGGACTCCTATTATGTATCAACAGGAACTTGAAGCCTGGGTTAGGTGATGTATGACCCTGTTGGAGCAGATGGGAGGGGGCAGGAATAACAGGAACTAAACAGGATGAAATATGGCCTGCAGTACTACTTATTGATCCTACATGGAATGAGATAGTGAATGCAGGGTTTGGTCAATCCGTAATTAAAATGTATTAATCGAAGGAAATTTATGTCTACTTACGGATAGCTTTTAATGGTTGCATTACACTTAGTATTCTTGATAACTTTTTTTGAAGAAGGTAGCAGTCCCAGTATAAGTGTGTGGATCCTTGAAAGATAATTGACTTCATCTTGCACTACTTTTAAGCACTTGAATTCCACAAAATCAACAGAGCACACATCAAATTTTAAATAACTCAGATTTTAAATAAATCGGATTTTAAATAACTTGTAGGGTTGTTATTGTGGGCTACTTTGTGGCTGTTTCAAAGATGGCCACTTGACTTTAAGCCATGAACATTGTCAGTGACTTGCAGAGAAACAAAACATGTACTGATGGAATTTGTAAATGATGATGATTTAGGGTGTTACAAATAAGGAGGAGGATGAGCTGCTACACCCTTTTTGGAAGATAACTCTCATAATGTTTGTGTTAATGTGGGTAAGTGCAAGTAACTAGGAACAAAAGCCTGTTGTTGTGTGTAAGTGATAAACCTCTATCCTGGGAAGCTGTATTCCTGGGAAAGCTCTAAGAATTACAGTAGGCAAAGAGCTGAATATGAGCTTGTCATGTGGCCAGAAGAACCAGTGTGAGCCTTCACTGTATCTGTGGGGATATTGAGGAGGAATAGAGATTGTATTCCAGTTCTTCTTATTCCTGGTTCAGATCAGGTCCTGGTGTCCATAACAACATAATGAAATGTTAGGAACAGTTCAGTGAGAAGTCCTGGAAGATAAAGGAGAAGAATGCATTCATCATGAAAAATACACTGACCACAACTTGTTACTTAGTGAAGGAGAAGGCTGAAGGAATGCTTTACTTGCACTAAATTCATCCATTCATTGGTTCTCTTTATACTAATGTATCCATAACCAGTAACTGGAAGCTGGAGTTGGAGCTGGAGAAATTCAATTGAAAAATTAAAATGTAAATTAACAGGGTAATGAGCCTGTAACTAGCTAATAAGCTTTATGGTCTTTTCTCAGTTGTTGGAAATCTTGAAATCAATATTAAATGTATTTCTAAAAAATATGTGCTGAAGCTCCAGCTACAAGAATTGAAGCAGGAATTAATTCAGGGAATCCTTACTGTCTGTTCATAAGGTTAGATAAGACAAAATAATTTCTTCAGGATTTAAAAAAAGTAAGCATAGTCTTTGTGGTACTATACTTGAAGATAATATGAAAGCTTACTAATAGGGCATGTGCTGGCTTGCTGATTTAATGGTGTTTACTTGAGGGGAAGGTGTGCATTATGTAGGCCAAATAACGCTTAGCTGAAATCTTACCGTTCAGAAATCACTGTAAATGTGCCACTGATTTTAGAGGGAGCAGAGTTTCATCCTTCATGCAGTTAAGAGAGTTGAGCTGAGCTGATGAATTCTCTAGCAGTTTTGAGCCCTAGCAGCCTCAGGTTTGTTGTCTGGGTAGTAGTGTAGTAGTTGAAATCATCCAAGGGACTGCAGCAAGGAGCTTTCAAATTCAATTGGGTGTCTTGTGTATGGTTCTGTACTTCATGCCTGTCTCCTGCCTGTCTTGAGCACGACTTTGCATGCTACAAAATAGTGGTTTGGTTGTGCTCCTTGATGTGGTGCGTTACGAAAGTTACAATGAAATGAAAATAAGGCAGCGATTATCATTAGAATTTTATTGTATTCCTGTGGTCCTTTGTCTGTCGTAAGCCATTGGCATACAGTGGGCCTAATGTGGGGAAATCACTAAGCGAGAGCTTTCGTAAACATGAGTTATTATTTCAACCATTGTCAGTCCTGGCAGTCGTATGCGACTGCACAGCTTGGAGAAGGGATTTTGAAAAGCAACTCTTAGTTCAGTTTTTGCATCTGCAGAATGATGACATGGGTGTTTTTCTGCCAGTGGCTTCCAGGGTTTGGCACTGCGCATGCCTCAGCCTTTAAAAATATCAGTTCACTCTTAACTTTTCTTGCAGCGGCGCTGCCAGACTATTTATAAATATGCTGCGCTCTGACACTATGGTAACTGTTCTGTTTTCTTCCAGTTGGCTCTGCAGTATGCGTTAGTGGCCAAGGAGCTTGTCCTACTATTAAACACTGTAACATCAGCGACTGTGAAAATGTTGGGCTTTATATTACAGACCACGCACAGGTATTTTCTGTCAAAATTTCCTTACTTTGATACAGTTGTTTACTGTTCCCGATTCCCATCTTAATTTACCTTTTCTATTTCCTAGGGAATATATGAGGACAATGAGATCTCCAACAATGCATTAGCAGGGATTTGGGTTAAAAACCACGGAAATCCCATTATCAGGCGGAATCACATTCACCATGGACGCGATGTTGGCGTTTTCACTTTTGACCATGGCATGGTAACACTTTATTTTCTTCTTTTGAAGAAAGAAATGTAGACCTTGAGTAGCTGAAGTCTTCAGGTTTTGTCCATTATCAAGTAAATGTTTAAAAGAAGCCTGCTTTTACATGTCAACAGATGTTTTAAAATCTGCCTATGGCAGCTTCTTTTGTCCTTGTGTGGGCAACTTCACTTTAAAGACAGTTCTAGCTGGAAGGGATGTGGGCAAACTTTTTGCAGATGATTGACAGCCTCTTAGGTTGAATGATGTTGACGTGATAAAATGCCTTTTGCAATAGGATGCACGTGGTAGGCTTAGATTTACACTGTCACATACGTTTGCTTGTGAAACTGACAAAAAAAATTTGTAGGATTCTATACCTTTTTTAAGGTGCCAGAAGATACAAAAATAAGATATAATGTGGTGTGGACACTTAAATCGGTCCTGTTCTAACGTTACAGCTCTGAAGCAGAGCATGCCCAGCTTGCTTCAGCATTCAGACTTTATTTAATGAAAATGTTTGTGTGGAATGAAGGTGATACCTTCTGTGTACGTGTAAACGAGTGACTAATGAGTGTGCATAGCCCTAGAAATAGAGAACAGAATGGATTTTTGCCATTGGAATAAAAAATATTTGTTTGTTTGTTTCTGGCAAAATGCTCCATGTCTTCCACACAGTGCCAGATCATTCTTTTTCCTGCTTGAATGCCAAACTTGTAATTCCCTGCACCCAGCTGACAAAAACAACAGGATTTTTTCTGGTCACTTTTTTCTTTAGTTAGGAATGCAAATGTGAACTGTACATTGGAAGTACAGAATGTGACTAAAGTACAGTGAACAAAATGTCAGACCAAATGAGGGCTACTGAGGTTAATGCTGCTCACTTTCAGATCAAGTGTAGTAACAAAATCAACGTGATTTCGGATTTCCTCTAGCACAGAATTTGATTATCTTGCTGCAGAAGTTGGATACTGCTCGTCAGGGATTGTATATACCTCTTGTTATAGAAAATAATAAACTCTTTAGCCACTTCCTTTGGGCTTTCAGTTTTAATGGTGCTGTAGATAAATAGGTGCTGTTATAATGGAAGCCTTCCTGTAACAGGCTTGATTTCAGAATGCTGCTGGAGAATGAGGTCAGCCAAACCGAGTAGATGTGTCACATGCTGTGGGATACTGCTGCATGTTCCTTTCCATACGTTTTGTTCCCAGCCTTAATATCTGACAGGGTGCCTGACCAGCTATGGCTAAATGTGTTAGGCCTCTTCTTTGTCAGGAAGGCTGTAATTGGACTTGTTATGTTACATATTCACTCTTTGCAAGTAAATATCTGTTGTCATCTGAGTTGTTATTTTGTTGGTAGATGTTACTCAAGTTTTCAAGGAAGGAAAAATAGTACTTGTAAAAATGCAAGCACTGAACACCAGTGGCTTTGAGTAGCTGAGAAAGACAAGTCCCAGGTCACTATTACAGACACAGCTTGGGTGTAAAATGTACTTCTGTTTTCTCGTTTTATTGTCTCACTTTATATTCTGACCTTTGGATCCACTGTTCCTTCCATATCCCCCATGTATTTCATCTCACTGTCACATGCTCCATCCAGATTTAGTAGGTTCAGCTGTCTAACTAAAATAATCATTTTAAGTTGTACTCACTGAATGCTTGCTCCAAATAAACAGTAGTCCAACATTTTAAAGAAACTAAATGCAACAATTCAACCACTACATTGCTTTAACTTCCCTCTTGAACGTGAGGTTTTTCTGTGTTGGAGGAGTGTTGGCCAGCTATCAGGTGCCTACTGAATAAAATAAAGTGTTTACTTTGAGAAATGAATTTCTGTAATTTCAATAAATAATGAATGTAACTATGGCAAGTTACATTCAAAAAATTCAGTGTATTTTATAATGGAAAAGAAGAAGAGGATAGTTCTAGAAGATGCAAATTTTGGTCCCTGCGTATTGTTAGGCTCACTTAATTATGAGTCTTCCTTCCTTTTGTTAGCATGTTTTCCTGCCCTTGTAGGTACTTGTTCTGTTTGCTGATTGTAACCCAGCTCTGATTGAGTTTTTGAGTCTTGGTGATCTGGAAATAGTATTAACAAAAGATGCACTGTGTATAGAAGAAACTAATGAGGCCTTTCTCCTTTCTACCCAGGTTGCTGGGGCAGTAGGAATAGAGGAGTAAAGCAGTACTAGTTGTAGCATTTGACTTGCATTTTCCTGGTCTCAGCGTGAGCTGGTCAGGACATCTGCTGCAGTTACTGTTTGCTGCTGGCATAAGCCTTCTGCCTGGAGGAGACTTGGGGATCTCCTCAGTGTATGTAAATCCTAGAATGGAAGGTGCTAAGAAGCCAGAGCTGGGCTCTTTCCAGTGGTGCTCAGTGAGCACAAACTGGAATGCAGGAGGCTTCCTCTGACTACCAGGAAGTATTCCTGTGCTGTGTGGATGCCGGAATACTGGCACAGGCTGCCCAGAGAGGCTGGGGAGTCTTCTGCAGGACACAACACAGCCTGGGCAGCTGCCCTGGGAGTTCCTGCTGGAGCAGGTTTGGAGCAGATGGACCAAGAGGTCCCTGCCAGCCTTAGCCATCCTGTGAGCCTGGCATTCTTCTTGTCAGTGGAAGGCGAGGCATAGTGGAATTCTCCTGTTATGTACTTCTTTTGCATTCTCCATTACATCTTGGGGTGCATACTTGCTCTGTATTGGAGAAAGTGGTACCCACACAGAACTCCCTCTTAGCAACATACGTGTGTGTTTTTAGGGTTACATACATATGTGTGAATGTTTTTGCTTTATTTTAAATGCTCTAGAGATGTAGCTGTGTGGCCATTTTGTGAAGGGCACTGACAAGCCCAGGATGTTACATCTTAGTTTGATGTTATCTGCGTGTTTGGAGCCTCATCTAAGCTGTATTAATGTGTTATATAAGCACTCCTAATCCACTTCAGCTTATGCATATGTTCATAAACCTCTCCAAGACATGAATATGCTCTGAAACATGCAATAAAGTGAATTCAGCTGGAGGAAGCCTGGTGAAGGAGAGTGCTTCTGTAGCTTCTGAAGGAGAGCTTGTGAGTTGGCTGAAAGTCTGGCTAGGAGAAGCTTCTAATTTAAGTCCTGAAGTCTGGTATTAAGTGTACGGGTACTGAACGGTTTTAAAAAGAAAAGTAATAATGATACCAGACTGCATTCACTCGATTCATTTGGAACAACAGTATTTGATCTGTTTGTTACAGCTAGACGGTGTATTCCGATGTTGTGATAGAAGCAAGGTGGAGTCCAAAGACCTTTTCCTTTTTATGCAAAAGAACCAGTGGCACATTAAAGAGAACGCATGAATAATAGTTATCTTAGCTGAAAATATGAGGAGTGATCCTCTTATCTCACATAGTAACTACGGGTAGAGGCTTGGAAATGTTATGTGCAGTGTGATGCAGTCTTTGTGATATATTGAGTTTGAAAAAAAAAAAAAGGGGGAGAAGTGCAGTAACACTGGCCTGTGTGTTTGGGAAGTATTTCAATAAGTAGGTCAATTTTTTAACAATATCCAATCCTTAAGAATGTCCCAGTTCCGCTATTGAAATGCTTCTTAGTTGTAAGGTTCTCGATCAGGCTGCTGGAACAGGTGGTGAGATGAGATCACTGCAGAATGGAAATAGCCTTTAAGCAGCACAGTATCTTCCAGATAAAAATCCTACGTAGAGCTGGGTAGGTTTCCATAGAATCATGGAATGGCTTGGGTTGGAGGGGACTTCAAGGGTCATCTAGTTCTATTGCCAACCACTAAATGAGGCACCAGCTCAGGCTGCCCAGGGCCCAACCAACCTGGCTTTGAGGGATGGGGCACCCACAGCTCTGGGCAGCAGTGCCAGGGCCTCATTGCCATCTCAGTGAAAAATTTCCCCCTACATCTGACCTAAATCTCCCCTGTTTTAGTTTAAAACCATTCCCCCTTGTCCTGTCACTAGCCAAACATGTAAAAAGTTGTTTTCCCTCTTGTTTATAAGCTCCCTTTAAGCATTGGAAGGCTGCAGTGAGGTCTCTGTGGAGCCTTCTCTGAACAAGCCCAGATCCCTTAGCCTGTCTCCATAGGAGAGGTGTTCCAGTGCTCTGAGCATCTTGGTGGCCTTTTCTGGATCCTCTCCAAAAATTCCCCATCTTTCCCAAGCTGGGGACTCCAGGTCTGAGCACAGTACTCCAGATGGGGCCTCACAAGATGGGGTCTCTGTGATGTTTCCCTTTTTCCAGTCACTGAGGTCTCCACTCCTTTGTCCCTAAGGACGGTTTCCCAGAGGATCCCATCTGGGGGATTCCTTAAATAGCCTGAAGTTTGCTCTCCTGAAGTCTGGGGTTCTGACTTTTGTTTTTTGCTAGACCCATTCTCCTCTAGATCACCAGCTCTACCAGGGCATGCTCATTGAAGCCTTCAGTCTCAGGAGTTCCTCTGTGCTGGTGAGCACCAGGTCACTGCTTGTGACCGTGCAGTGGGACAAGTGCATTCCAGTGCCAGATTCCTACCCTACACACTATTTTCCCCGTGGGTTTCTGTACCACAGTGCCAACTCTGAGAGGTTAAAGAGTGCTTTGTTTTTCACTTCCAAGTTTTCAGCCTGTTTTTTGTCTTCTGATGCCTGTGAAACTTAACCTCTTCTTCCTAAACCAGCGATGTTCTGCCATTTGCCAAGTGCCAAGCAGCCCTCCCTGCCACACACAGATGTCTCTTGCCAGGTGCCAGAGACAAGATGCCAGATGGAATGGAGTTGGGTCGCTGTATGCAAACAACAGAGAACCTTCAGTTGACTGGAAGAATGAGCTGAAGTAATTTTATGATGTTGAAATGGAGTCCTAAGCATAAGGCTTCGTTTTCCTTGTTCCCAAATGAGAAGTCATTCTTTAAAATATTACAGATCTGGTAATTTTAAAGGAGTGTTTATACAGTCCAGAATGTAAACGAAGCTTATGCCAGTCTCTCTGTAGAATGCATAAAAATCCCTTTGGCCTTTTGTAGCGTATAGCAGATTTCTCCTTTGCCCTAAGAAGAAAGGATTTGTTTTGCATAGTGAATGTGGGTTCTTTTATGCTGCTTTTATGCTGTCTTTATAAAATCCACCTACTCTCAGATAGAGGCTGTTCCAGACTTTGGTAGGCAAATTTTTCAGAACTTTTTTTTATTTTAAGAGTATGAGCATCAGTAAACACTTAAGAAATCTTAAAACATCCCTGTTTTTTTTTTTATTTTATTTTTAAAGACTTGTATTTTTTAAACAGCTGATGTGAAATATCTGCATTTCTGTAATGGTGTGATCTTTGAAAGAGAGAAGGAAGAAAACCCTCCTTAGAGGCGCAGAAGAAAAACACTTTGGAGAAGAAAAGCAGTGAACAAAATCACATGAGTTAAAAAATGTAACCCCAATTTATTTCAAAGCAGTGTCTGTTAGAGTAGATGGAACAAAAACAAGTGACACAGGCTGTTTTAATTAGCCAGATAAGTACTGATACTTTGTCAATTCAGGTGCTGTTCCCTCTTAAATAATAGTGATGTTGGGAAGGGAGGGAATATCAGAACATTCAGCCTTCACTTTACAAAGGATATTTACAGGAAACTTTTTATGTTCTGTGTCTTAAGGGTTATTTTGAAAGCTGCAACATCCATAGGAACAGGATAGCAGGTTTTGAAGTGAAAGCATATGCCAATCCAACAGTGGTTCGGTGTGAAATCCATCATGGCCAGACTGGGGGCATCTACGTCCACGAAAAAGGAAGAGGACAATTCATAGAGAACAAAATCTATGCAAACAACTTTGCAGGTGTTTGGATTACCTCAAACAGTGACCCAACAATAAGGTATTGATATTTTTCTGCTTAGTGGTGGAGCTTTGGTGGGAATAGGAAATGTGCAACTTTATTTTCTTTATTGATACTGAACTGTGAGTGTTCCTGTATGTGTAAAAATGAAGTGGCTGTGTTTGGCTGTGCATCTACTTGAAGTGGGTATTTCTTGAAAAGTCACAAAACAAAGATTCTGTTTCTGTTTTGTTTCAGCTCTGAGTGCTGTACAGTCCTAGGCACTGTGTGTTGTATAGCACTGTATGACACTATTCCATAACGATTATCTTGCTTCTTAGGGGCAATGCAATTTTTAATGGGAATCAAGGTGGTGTTTATATCTTCGGTGATGGAAGAGGCCTTATTGAAGGAAATGACATTTATGGTAAGCTGCTTTTCTTACTGCATCTTAGATGCAGAGAAAAATGAGCACAGAAGTTGCATTGAATACCATTTCTTTTAACAGGTAATGCATTGGCAGGAATACAGATTAGAACAAACAGCTGTCCCATAGTTCGACACAACAAGATTCATGATGGTCAGCATGGTGGCATTTATGTGGTAAGCATTACCTGCAGGCAGGCAGGAATACTTGCTTTCAGTTCATGGAAGCTTACAGAAGGAGAGTATTGTGTGTAAAGTGCATGCTTGTGCTTACACTGACTGCATTTCTTAGGTTGTAAAATAGGCTAGTTGTGCCAGGGTGAAACTTGTATTATAAAGTGATGAATAAAATGTAGTTTTCAGCACATACAAGATCTCCTCTGGTTAAACTGATGCAGCTGTTCATTTACCTCAACCAGTTTGCATTTTGGTGAAGGAAACGTTTTCTTGTCTTCCTACCAAAAATTACCAGATGTTCAGCTAATGCAAGTGGAGAGCTTCATCTGCTTGTTCTACAGATCTAACCAGGACACTTCACACTAAGAGTACTGCTTTCCATTTAAGCACGTGCATGTGGTAAAGAATTACCTTAAGTGATGTGTGCCAGCCCAGTGGATGAGGCTGGGTGTTGGTCTGAGGGTCAGCAGCTGCCAGCTCTGGCTTGGTGTGGGGGAGGTGCCTCTTCTAGCAAAAGGCAGCAAGGATTTGCAAGTACTAAAGCAGAACCTTGAAGTGTAGTGGTTCACATGCAGAGGGTTCTTAATTTTACAGCAGAGTCAAAATGGTGACGTAATCTTATTGTTTAAAAAGAGTGCAGATATATACCTGGAGAGAAGCACTTCCCACAGTAAAGGGGCCGTGAGGGGGTGGTGGGTACAAGCAGCAAAAGGGTATTTGCACTTAGCAGATGGTCTCGACTCTTACGCTTCTTGTATTCAGCATGAAAAAGGCCAAGGTGTGATTGAGGAGAACGAAGTTTACAGCAATACTTTGGCTGGGGTCTGGGTGACAACAGGGAGCACTCCGGTCTTGAGGAGGAACAGAATACATAGCGGGAAACAGGTGAGTTTTACTCAGCGTGCTGGGAGGGGGACGGAGGAAGAAGAATGGTTTGTATTTCATTACCTTCAAACTAATAATGACATTTCTCACATGCTAGGTTGGAGTTTATTTCTACGACAATGGACACGGTGTGTTAGAAGACAACGACATCTATAATCACATGTACTCAGGGGTTCAGATAAGGTAACGTGTATTCTCATTCCTCTGCCTAAACAGACACTGTGTTGTGTTATTTCATCCTTTTTTTTTTAACTGTTCTTGTCGCTTTGCTTCTAAAAATAACTTGTGTGGAATTCAGAATGTTGGAGCATTCTTATGCTGCAGCTCAGCAGAAGGAATTGTCTCTAATGTAGGCTGGGTATTGACCTCTGAAGTGTGTAGAAAATTAAATCTGTTTGCTGACTTCAAAATACAGTATTTTATTAAGGTTTCAACCAGTCACATCTGGATGTTTCTGTAGAGGCACTGCCATAGTTTGGCCTTGAGGTACAGGAAGCTGTGATACATGATTTCTTTGTTTCTGTATCTCTAGAACTGGAAGCAACCCCAAAATCAGACGCAACAAAATCTGGGGAGGTCAGAATGGTGGTATTCTTGTTTATAATTCTGGTAGGTCTGTTTCTGTCATCTCTCCCTAATTGGTATTTTTCTGTGATATTATCTTTTTCCATTTTATATTTTTTACTATTTTTATTTCATACTCTATAGGGCTTGGATTTATAGAAGACAATGAAATTTTTGATAATGCAATGGCTGGTGTATGGATTAAAACAGACAGCAATCCTACACTAAGAAGAAACAAAATCCATGATGGAAGAGATGGAGGCATCTGTATATTTAATGGAGGAAGAGGTAATTTTTCCCTTTCTGGCATATATCAAATGTTCTGAATAAGAGTTTAATTTCAGTTTAAGCAGTGTCCATTTTAAAGTACTCTTTAGAAATCCAGCTCTTGTCTTTTGAAGCAATAAAATCACAGTAACAAACATACCGTGGTGCTTTTTAGCTTAATTACATCACTAATACTAAACTCTGTGGGAGGCAGAAGGGGTAATTAATCTCATCTGAGACGACTGTGTTGATTACTGCTTACGTCAGTGCTTCTGTCTCATCTGCAAGCTTTGCCATTTCACTGAAGGACAGTACTCAATTAAGGTTTCCTAGCCAGCATCTTGCATGTGAACTTTCTGGATTTTGCCAGTGTGAAAGATTAAGGGGAAAAAAAAAAGAGACACTTTTAAAGGAATCATTTGAAGGTATTCCTGTCCTACAATAACAAAAATGAAAATTAAGCTTTGTATTGGCGGGCTGCTAGTTTTAGGGGACAAGTGTAGAACGAAGCTAGAAGAAGAAAATCTGAAAGTTGAAAGATCTCGTTTCCATAAAATTGATATGACATTTAGAGGGATTTTCTGTATTCCCACATTCCCAAATTCTGTTATGTACAGAATATTATGTACAGTATGCACTGCTCCATCCCTAGAGGAGTTCAAGGCCAGGTTGGATGGGGCCCTGGGCAACCTGGTATAGTATTAAATGGGGAAGTTGGTGGCCCTGTTTGTGGCAGCAGGGTTGGAGATTCATGATTCTTGAGGTCCCTTCCAATCCTAGCCATTCTGTGATTCTGAGAAAAGAGTATCCTAATGTGCTTATGCTCTGAGGTCTTCCAGTACTTAAAGGCAGCTGACAGGAGGGAGTGTAACTTTTTACATAGGCAGGTAGTGATAGGACAAGGATGAAGGGCTTTAAACTAAAAGAGGGAGATCTGTGTTAGATGTTAGGAAGAAATCCTTCACTCAAAGGGTGCTGAAGCCCTGGCACTGCTGCCCAGAGCTGTGGTGCCCCATCCCTGGAGGTGCCCAAGGCCAGGTTGGATGGGCCCTGGGCAGCCTGAGCTGGTGGGGGGCAGCCCTGCCCACAGCAGGGGTTGGGGCTGGGTGGGCTTTAGGGTCCCTTCCAACCCAAACCATCCTGTGGCTCTGCAGTGATATTAAACTTCACTAGCCAACTTCAGTGCTATTTATGGATATTCCTCAGATGAAAGGAATGAATATTCCTCAGAATGGTTACAGGTGAGGAAATGTTAACAATCTGAAATCTCTTCTTTGCTGCTTCTGTAATAGGTCTTCTGGAAGAGAATGATATCTTCAGGAATGCCCAAGCTGGTGTTCTTATCAGCACCAACAGCCACCCTGTGCTAAGGAAAAATCGAATATTTGATGGCTTTGCTGCAGGTTTGTGTTGTTCAGATCAAATTTTGAAGTGTTAGAGCTGAGAGTGAGCTGTTCACTGAGCTAAATCTGTGTCTTTACCCCACGTTACTGAAGGTTTTTAACAAGTGATTGGGATGGCCTTCAGTCTGTTCTTGAAATAATTTCAGAATTGTAGCTAAAATACCTTTTATTGCTCATGTTGAGAATCAGTGCGTAGTCTTCCTTCTCATTTTTCAGTGAAATACTATTTATTTCACTGTTTTGTTTTAGAAGTATTGGATAAAGTTGTCTAGGAGGTATTTATAGCTGATCTGATGGATGCTCTATTGCTGCTTTAAAACAAGGAACCGTATAACAAATAGATTTTAGAGGGATATCAGTTGCATTTCAGGTATAACTGTCATTTCCACAAACTTGGAAAATGATTAAAATGAGCATTTGTGACTCCAAAAGAAATGAGGAATGTTTAATATTAAACGATCACATGTCCACACATCTTCCATTCCATTCCAACTACACTTGTGTTCCTGAGTTTTCCCCCATCTTTTTTTCAGAAGAAGGAAGTTTTCTGAGAAGGAGGCTGTAAAGGTGTTGTTTCTGTGTGTAGTGGGGGGAGGGATAGGTTGCTGTCAAGAGCAGTTCAGGAGAAATGGCATGGAGGATGTGGGTTAATGATGAAAGTGAAGATTGGGATGATTTTTAGGTCTTCTTCTTGAAAACTTATTTTAAAAAAATGTTTTAGAAAAGGTAAGGTATGTGTACAAGAACTTCCCCGTGTATGTGAAGATGGCAGGTTGAGCACCCAAAGATCCTGTCCTCTGGAGAATATCTGATAATGGTACTCTGTTATCAGATACACTGATAATATATTGTTACTGCTAGAAATCATGTGTGCCAACTGTAGCTCTCTGAAAGGATTCAGTGAGCATTTGAACCTCAGATTTATAGTGCTTCAGAGTCCCCATTTCAACCATGTCAGCTTTCTTTTTGTCCTTGAGCTTATCGTTAAAAAAACACAAAAACACACAGAAACCCTCACAGCTCCACAGGGAGGTGCAGCTGCGCAATGGCTAAGGACTGACTTCTCCCACTTTTCTTTCCTCTCTTCTATTCCCAACCCACAACAGGCATTGAAATAACAAATCACGCTACTGCAACATTAGAAGGCAATCAGATTTTCAACAACCGCTTTGGGGGTTTATTTCTCGCATCTGGTGTCAACGTCACAATGAAAGGTGAGCCGAGCCTTTGTTGGTTGTGTTTGGTCACTTTGTGCTTTAATTCAGTGCTGGTTTGCCATTTTATTGGACCGCTTCTTTTCAGCTTCTGGTTCTGATATGGGATGGCTTTGAGCTGAGTTTGTAATTAAGCACTTGGGCTGAGGGCAGTAAGTGAGATTTTTGGACAGGTAGCCAGAACATTCCAAAGGTAACTTAAGGTTTTCCAGTCATGTAGAAATGGTTATTAGCTCTTCTGTCTCAGAGCTGGTCATGGTTTTGAGCAGGTGAGATGGTCACTGCACATCTCTAATTGATGTTCTAAGCTAGGATAATGGGAAGTCTTCTGTCACAGCTCTGAAAACAAATGTCTGGTAAAGAAGCACACCTCACTCAGCTCTTGGGTTCTGGAAGCATGGATGTTCACAATCCCAAAGCACTTTTTCAGAAAATAGGAGCAGTTTAGAGGCATCCAGTTCCAATGTCTGATAAAGTGTGCACAAGATGGGATCTAATCTGTCTCTAACCATCCTTCACAAACCAGTTCACAAAGTATTAAACAAGGGTGGGTCAGAGGTTTCATGAAATCCATGCACAGAGGAGCAGTCTTTCTGGGCTGAGCACTGCACTGCATTGTCTGAGCATCTGCCTTGCCTTTGAGCAGCTGTCTTGCGTTGAGTCGTTCATCTGCACAAGTGCCAAAACTAAAACACACAGAACTAACTGTTCCTAATCGTTCTAGGCCTTAAAAGGTGGGAAAAAAACAACTTGGATGTCTTTGAAAAGACATTGACTTAGTGTGTTTGTTTTTTCTTTCCCCCCCAACAGATAACAAAATAATGAACAATCAAGATGCCATAGAAAAAGCTGTCAGTAGAGGCCAGTGTTTATATAAGATATCCAGTTACACCAGCTATCCCATGCATGACTTCTACAGGTAACAGTTTCCTTCTGGCCACCCACAGTAGGGTTCCTCAGACAAGCCCCCTCCTTCTTTAGCAAGGCCCCTAAAAGTTGCTATGTCAGTAGCACACAGATGTGTTCTCTCAGTTTTGAGAGAAGAGATTCAGTCAGGTTCCATTGAGCTGAGGAAAACGGATGGTTGCCACGAACCTGAGCCCCAAGGCAGCGCATGGCAGAGCTCCTTTTCCAAAACACAGCCAGGAGCGTGCCAGGAGATCCCAGTTAAAGTGAAGTTCCCAGGTGTTACTGCTGTGTGTGTACTTAAGTGCTGCTCTGCCCCCATGCCCTCCCCAGCCCCCCATCCCAGCCCGCTGGGTTTTGGTTCATGCCCGATGCGTCTCTCTCCAGGTGTCACACCTGCAACACCACAGACCGCAACGCCATTTGTGTGAACTGCATTAAGAAGTGCCATCAAGGACATGACGTAGAATTCATTAGACATGATAGGTATGTTGGTATGTTTGCTGCGAGCGCATCGAGCTCTTTTGGTGATGCAAGCGTGAGAACTAAAGAGCTCTCTTTCTTTGTAGGTTTTTCTGTGACTGTGGTGCTGGAACACTGTCTAATCCCTGTACACTTGCTGGAGAGCCTACACATGATACAGATACGCTATATGACTCTGCTCCACCTATAGAATCTAATACATTGCAGCACAACTGAATTCCTTTCAGAAAGAAAGTCCTGCCATTCTAATATCATAACTGTTAAACCTTTTTTTTTGGAGGAAGTTATACTTGCCCATTTCTGCAGAAAGAGACTGTATTAAAGCGGATGTGTGAGGTGTTGACACTATGGAGCTCAACCTACCAAAAAAGAAAGTGGCAATATGTTGACTCAGGATAACAGAACTGGGCGTTTTAGCATTACTGTGTAAACAAAGACTTTGAAGGGACAGAAGTGAAGAAAAAATAAGCTGCAATTTTGTACAGATACCAACTTCCGAAAGCTGGTGTTTTTACAAGTAGCATTGAAACGCAGTCCAATTTGCAGTAGTACTATTCTGTAGACAAGCAGCATTCTTTGTTGCTGCCTTTATGGACATGGGTACCAATTGCTTTTGTAACATGGTAAAAAAAAAAATGTGAGCTAGCACTTCTGCATTTCTTTTGATTTTTTTTTTAACATTTATTCAGATTGAGAAATATGATTTTAATGCTTTAATCTCATGTAGTTTGTTTCTAATTTCAAGCAAAAAAAAATCTTATTGTACTTGAATGTGTCCTGTTTTGTTAGCACACCTAGACTTGCTGTAACTGTACTCATGTCCCAGTATGTACGTTCTTTCTATGAAAGAGAAAACACTAATCTTAAATTATATCCAGCAATTTTTCTGGTGTCCTCTGAAGTTAGAATAATCTCCTTCCCTGCCCCAGCAATAGTCTGTACTCAAACCACCCTAACAAAAAAGCGAGTGTTTTAATGAGACTTCCTAGACTATAATGCACTATAAAACAGAGTACCCATGTAACTAAGTTTTGTGAGTGAAATTTTACTATGTTTTAAAGTACACGGTAGAAAGTCTCCTCAAAACAGTCTTGTATTTTACTCTGTTCATAGTTTTTTTTGAACAGTCTGGACATTACTTTACATAACCTGCTGGAAATCGCAGCAATTTCCTGCTCTAATGAAGCTGAGACAAGTATATATACAGCCCTATACAGTTTCATAGCTTTTTTCCATTTATGTGTATTGGTGACAGTGGGTAATCAACAGCCTGAAAGTGTATGCATGTACCATAACATCTAGACTTAATATATTGTGGAGTACTCAATAACCATTATGTAGAGGGTAGGTAAGAATTAAAGGGTTTAATTTCCTAGGAAAGACAATGGAAAAATGGTCATTTTTAAAAAATAAAGTTTATTAGATCATAACGTTGTCTGCTACCACCTTTTTGACAAACTGCTAGTACAAAAACTCCTCAAGCTTAAAGGTGACTGAGCATAGTGCTGAGCTTCCCTACCGCGTTCGCATCACGTGTCGCACCATCCACCACCCGGCACAGAAACCTGAGGGAAGCAAAAAGCATCACTGTCATTGAACATAGCAACGAAGGGGCAGGAGTACCTGACACACATGCCATCCTTGTGTGGGGTCAAGGCTGCTGTCAGCCTACAGCACCTGAGTGCAGAGGCACCAGTGCTGTTCCCCAGCAGCCACCAGCACGGGCTCACTTGCAGCCCTTGGGTTTGGCTCAGCTCACACCCTGTCCCTCTGCAGCCACGCTCTTTGCCCTGGGCACAAGCACAGTGACCCAGGCTCAAACTACAGCATTCAATCTGCTATCTTACAGCCAGCTGAACGTCCCTTCCCCAGTGACTGGACAGTACATTTGATATTCACAAAAATGGTTTTACTTCCTCCCCTCTGCTCTGCTTTTCTAAAGACAAAGCAGCAACCAAATTGTAAAATGGCTGCCAAGAAAGCAACATCCTACTTCAGAATAGAGAACAGAGGCCTCACCTGAATATTCTCAGTGACATTGTCTTTTTTTCAAACTCTTTTGCTTTTCTGTGCCCTTTCTGAATAACTTCCTCTGGGATGTCAGCAAGTCTTGCTGCATTGAAGCCATAGCTTTTTGGACACGCTCCTTCAATGAATTTATACAGAAATGTAATTGTTTCCTGGCTTGGATCTTCGCTCTCATTTTCCACCATACAAGCCTAGAAAAGTGAAATGACTGCCAGTTAGTTTTTGTCACACAAGACAAGCAGCTGCACAAAACTACCTGCTCCCATGGGAGCTCTGGGTCTGAGCAGAAGGCTGCAGAGAAGTGTTCACAGCACGAGGTCTGCCAGCCACCAGGACAAATCCCATCCGCTGGTGCTCAGGATTTGCACATTACAGCTGATACAAACCATGTGTCCAAGCCGCACGGCCGCGCTGCCTGAGTAGTCCTCTACTAAGGAGTGGTAATGTGTGGAGAACAGCGTGCGACACTTGATGTTCTCAGCAAGTTCTCTAACAACTGCACTTGCTATCGCTGTTCCATCAAACGTAGCCGTGCCTCGGCCTGGTGTGAAATGGAAAAGCTCTGTCATCCCCAAGAACCAAAAAGGTAAACAGTCTGACATCTACTTGCTCCTGAAGAGACCCCCACGAGTGTTAAGATGAATCAACAGAAGCAAAGCTGTTGTTCCTAAAGACTTACAAATACAGTTCACTGAGATGTTGCAAGCTAATACACAGCAAACCCTCTTCCACACAGCAAGGGCGGGGAGGAAAGAAACTGCAGTGAGAGCCACCAGCAGGGCCAAGTGACTGCAGCATCTGCTCCATAACTGCCACTATCTCTTCTGTACTGCAGAAAAAAAACATTTCTGCTCTGAGACTTGCTGCTGGCATGCTAAAGGTTTGCTGCATGTAATCTAGCAAAGGCCAGCAGGAAAACTCAGCTGGAAATAAATAGGCTAATAGGGATGGAGGATGGGAGGTGGTGTGCTGGTTCCCAGGGCACCCAAGGGATCCATGTTTTAGAGGGGATGACATGGGTAGTGTCTCATTACACATCAGTGGCACTGCACTACAACTCCCTCTGTGTACCCCATTCTCATCTGCACAGCCCTACTGCCCATCTCAGGCAGTTTCCATCTGTTACAAAGCAGACTGTTTACCGAGTTCGTCCACAAGAACGAGGGAATGCTCTGTTGCATGCTGCAGGATGCTGGAAGTCTCGCTTAATTCAACAAAGAAGGTACTTTCACCTTTAAAGAAGAGAAAAAAATAGCTATGAAGGCATTGAAGAGCTGAAGAACACAGCTGAAAGCTTGTTTGATCTGCACTGGGCGTTAGTCAAGCTAAAATGAAACTTGAAGCAAACTCATCAAAAACATAACGCTTTTTCTTTTCCTAGCATGAGAAGAGTGGGGGCTTAATTTGACTGACAGCATGTGTACTGATTAGGCACCAAATCCTACTCATCTGTGCACTCAGAGCACTGGTCAGATTATTAGCTCGATGAAAAGAAAGGCACAAAGGAAACAAGTCAAAGATCTTTTGCTCCTTCTTGCTCTCAAATTCACAAGAGGCAGCCCTCACATATATACATGGCTTTTCAATGTGGAATAAACATAAAAAACAAAAAGCAGGAAGCCTTAAAAAGATTTTAAGAAACGGCCTTATTTTTTTGGTGGGTGATGATAAAGTAATGGATTATTCAAACAATTAAGGCTGTAATCATCCAAACCAACCTTTCTTAGTAAAAACTTCACTCTGAAAACCAAATGTCTGCCAGGAGTGCCAGCACACCAAGTTACAGTCCATGACCTGAAATCCTGCTGTTTGTTTTAAAACAGATTACAAGCAGAAGTACATTCAGAGCCTTGCACACTATATTCCCATAGGTATAAATCCAGCTTTACCAATCCTTTGCAGGGTTCATTCCTGCTCTACTCATCACATGCAACAGTAACTACTGCAGTTTCTGAGTAGAGAAGTGTTTACTTCTTGTATCCTTGGGTCACAACCACATAATCCCCTCCCCCACTGTTGTGCTCAAAAACAAGTTTCATACAGGCATGGTTAAACACCATCCAGTAATATTCTCTGCACTTCCAGGACTTGGTATGGTTTTGTTTTTGTACTGAAGTTAAACAAAACAGCAAAGAGCTGCAGGAGCCTCCAATTGGGGAAGTACTTGTTTTTTCTTTAATTAAGTGCTCAGATTGAATGATTCATTTCCAAATTCCTCATGTGCAACAAAATTCAGTAGGCTTTGGTTTTCATATTCACTGACCCACATCTTTCAGTACAAAGATCACAGAAAATCTACACCTTCCTTAGCTGAATTGTGATACTACACTTAGTAGCACAAAGATTATTTTTCCAGCCCTGTGACTCTGGGCACACCACCCCAGGCACACATCCCCAGTGTAGTTGTTGCGGCCTTCACTTCAATGGGAAAATGCAATATTCCACTGACAAGTGAACCCGAGTGTCAAAAAGAACAGACAATACACACATGGAACAAACAAGTGTATCAAACAATGGCAGACAAAGCACTCTCCCCAGCTCTCCGTGAAAGTATGACACAGCATCCCTCTCCCACCTGCATTCGTGTGTGCTAAGAACCTCCCTCCATGGCAGAACACTGGAGTTCAGAAACTCACCTGACATGATTCTGTCAGAGGCACCGAGCCGTGTAAATACTCTGTCGATGGGAGTGAGCCTGCAGACCTCAGCAGGCACGTAGCATCCCAGCTGAGCCATTATAACCAGGAGACCAGCCTGCGGAACAAACATTGCCACACATGAAATTCCACTGTGTGCTTGGGGTTCCGGTTCCATACAGAGAACAAGGGAACAAAGCTAAGACTTGAGTACATAAAACTTCTCCCACTGTTTTAGCAGCTCCAAGTTGCAGCGTCATAATCCCCGATTACAAGAGTAAAGTACTCTGACAGCCTTGAAAACACAGCAAGCAGTGCTTGTAAGGCAAACTCCCTATTGCTTCCCCAGTTGCCTCCAAATTGTTTTCATCTTATTCAAGCCAAAGCATCCTTTGTCAGATGATGCCAAGTCCTGGGGTAAGATCACTATGATGCTCTATCACACTTTCCAACCATCTCTCACAAGAACAATAAAACTGATTCCCCAATAAAGTGAAGAAATAGACAATCTACTACCTAAACATAAGCATTTTCAACCTGAATTATAACTTGGCTGCAGTGTTATCACTCAGATCACCACTGGGACCCTTACAAACAGCTAGTCACAATTCCTTTCATCAAAACACAAGCACCCTGGAATACTCAGTTTTATGTAGCTTGGCAGTCACCTGTCTCATGAGTGTTGATTTGCCACCCATGTTTGGGCCAGTGACTAGCACACAGGAAGCTTCACTACCGCCATCTTCATCTTTACTGCCTATCACGATGTCATTAGGAATAAAATCGTCCCCAAAGAAAGTTTTTGTAATGCAAGGATGGCGTGCATTTTTCAGTTCCAGGAAGGGAGGAGAACTATCCACAGGCAGTAGAATTACAGGTCGGCACAGTGGTCCATCACCATCTTGACTGTAGTTAGCAAGGGACATCAAGACATCTACAAGATTAAAAGAAATTCCACAACAGGAATGATGAAAGAGCTTGGGAACAGCAAGACCCAGCACCCCACCTGTTCTGCCATATTAATGCTGTTATCACAACCAGAGTTTTTAAACCACAGATGAAGGGCCGGCCACAGCCCTTTCTTTTTTTTTTTAATTTGGCTTACCATGACCAGATTTCATCCTTTACTATGGAAGAGTAATTTTACTTTATGTAAAACTTGCAAGAAAGGCTCTTACCTAGCACAGCGATGCACTGTACGGCTGTCTGCCAGTCTTGGCTGTTTTTGTCAAAGTTGTAAAACAAACGCCTCATGCAGTCTTTCAGAGCCGCATCTCTTCGCTCCTCAGCATTAATCAACTCAGCCAGCATCCTCTCAATCTCCTTGGTCCAGTAACGTTTGTATCCCTTCCTGGTTGACTTCAGCTCATATTCTTCAGGTAAATTACGCGATATGGCGGTTTCTGGTATTTCCATTTGATACCGATTTTTGCCCGTCCCCCAGTACAGCACGGATTTGAGTCCAAGCAGTTTGCGTTGCTTATCGAGGTACGTACGGAAATCTTCCTCAACAGTTTTAATGTCCTGTAGTGCTTTATCATAATCGGAGTCAAAACCTGCCTTTGGAGTAATCACTCCTGTCTTCCGAGCCTGGTTATGATCAAAAGCAGTATCCCACCTTTTAAGCTCTGCACTTAAGTCTGGGAAGCGTCCATCAGGATGTTTGGCTTTGCGGGTGACTAACTGCTTAAGGACTTGAGATTTGAAGTCACTGGCAACTTCTTCCATGGCATCGACAATTTCATTCATTACTTTAAACCCCTCCA